ATGCCCCTAATAACTTGCCTCCTCCAATCCAGCCCTACCACAGAATACACGAGACTTTTGGGGAACATTCTGGATTTAAACAGTAGCATTCTACCCCTGGCCCCCAAAAGATCCATGCCTTTCTCATCATGGACAATGCATTTAGGCCATATCTAAGAGTTGCCAAAGTCAATGCCCACAATGCTTAAAAGTTCAAGTTCAAAGTCTCTGAAATTCAAGGCAACTCCTTGCTATGTACCCTTGTAAAAACCAAAAAGAAAGTTAAATACTTCCAACATATAATGGCACAGGGTAAACATTCTGTGTGATAGTTAACTGATTGTGAAGACATGAGTGAGAAATACCCAACTAAATAGGATCATCATAGTTCTGGGTATGGCTGAGTTATTTACTGAAGACAGAAGACCCAACCTAGGGAGGCTTGCCACCTGAATGCTATAAAAAGAACAGGAAGAAGGAAGGCTCACTTCTGTTTCTTTGGAAGCGCTCCAGTCTTCACCTTCACTTTGGACATCATCTCCTGGCTTCAAGTGTACTCTTCAGCCTTCCGGTACAGAATTTAACCTTCTATCACAGGCCCTTTGGCCTTCTGATATGGTTGCATATGGCTCCAGGCCTTCGACTGGATCCTTCTGATCTCCAGCACCCAGACAGCCCTTTTGCATTCTTCCACATCTGACTCTGTGGGAAGTCATGTAATCCAATCTTGTAAATTCTTATATATTTGTATATCTTGCAATAAACCTATTTCTCTAGCAAGCACTGACTAATACACATTCCCATTCCAAAAGAACAATATTAGGGGTTAGGAAGGAATTAGACCAAGGCAAGACTGAAACCTAGCAGAGAAAAACATTAGATCTTATAGTTACATATCCAGCAGTCAAGGCAAGTTGTGGCAAAATGTACCAAAAGGCTTCAATGGCTTTGCTCCTTATGGCATTGCCAGTTGCAGCCCACATGACCTTTCTCAGGCTGGCTCTGCTTACTGCCTGCAGCTTTCCTCAGCAGACATTCCATGTTCCTGGCATCTACAACCTCCTGGGGTCACCAATGGAGTGTTTGCTTCACTTCCACATCTTCAGGATTGCCCTCTCAGGGGCACCAGGCAGAGACTGATCCTTTCACACTTTTTTGCCTGGTCTCCTAGGCTTTCTACTGAAATCTGAGTGGAAGCCTCTTAACTCCACAACTCTTGCATTTTGCATGCCTGAAAAACCAGTACCACATAGATGATACCAAGGTCTGCCACCAGTTTGAGAAGTATCATGTGCCCCTTAGATCATGGCTGAAGCACTCTCTGAATGCCTGGATGGCTGAAATCAGGGAAGCATTTCCATAAGTGGCCCTGAATGAGCAGGGCATCTAAAGCTCTCTTTCAAAGTGAAGTTTTTCAAAGGAGTTTTACCCTTTTATAAACTTGAGCCTGCAAAGATTAGGAGCCTGAACAGTTCCTGAGATGACTTCAAGCCATCTTTCCTATTGTCCTGATTCAAAGTAATGGCTTTGTTTAGATGCTAACCTTTTCAGTAGCCAGGCTCTCCTTGGCACCAACTTTACAGGAGTTACCTTTCTGGTGAAACTATAAACTTTTAACATCTCTCAGCTCTACTTTTTGCCTGATTCTTACTAAAATGTGGCTAAAAGCAGCCAGGATTACCCATACCACAGCCTCAATATTTGGCTGCCTTGAAATTTTCTCCACCAGATCAATTAGTCTGCCACCTTTAAATTCAGCCTCATAGTTCTGGGACATGGAGAAAATGTAGACAAATTCTTCATCAGAATGAAACACACATGGCTTCTAGTCCAGCTAAAAAAGGCTTCTCTTTCCCATCTGAAAACTTGTGAGTCTTACCTTTATTGTCTGCATTCTTATCAACATTCTTGACTTCTGAGCTCCCACTAGAATTGTGTTATCAAGCTCTGCTTATAGTACCTTAAAGCTTTTCTAGCTGGCATCTCTAAACGCTTCCTGTAAATCAGTTCCAAATGCTTCTAAACCAGAGTCACAGTAATGACCCTACTTCTCTGGTACCAACTTTCCATATTTAATTTTCCATTGCTGAAACAAAATGCCTAATATCTACAACTTAAAGGAGAGGTTTAATTTGGCTTTGGGTTTTGGGGGATTCAGTAGAAGTTTGGCTGGCTCTGAAGCAGAAGTAGCATGGTGGAAGGGCATGGTAGAAAAAACCTGCTCAACCCATGGCAATGAGGAAGCAAAGAGACAGGCAAGAAGCTGGGTCAAGAATACACCCTTTTAGGTTATAGCTCCAATGACCTGCCTCTTCCAACCAGGCCCAATCTCCAAACATATGATAATCTTGGGGGATATATTGGATGTAAAATACTACTTTAAGAAACAAATTTTTATTTAAGAAGCTTAATGAAATAAAAAACTGATATATTTTGTCAGGAAGTTGACAGTAAGCAATTATTTGCCACAAGAGGATTTTTTTATATTTATAACAAGTCAATGAGAAAATTATGAAACAATTTTTTTCCAGAAAAAACATTCAGAGTTTGGCACTAAATATATCTTCACAATCATTGTCCTACAGTAGGCAGAATATTACTATTTGCACTTTATATCTGAAGAAACTGAGGCTCATAAATTAATCAATTTGCCTGATAGCATTGGTAGCACAGCCAGAACTGAGTTAGGTCTGTAGACAATTTGGTTGGGGTTGTAATTACTTAACTCAATAGTATCTCCAAATATCAATGATTATATACAAATATTTCTATTGTTTCATTTCTTTAATATTTACTTTTCCTAGGTTATACATGATTCACATATCACTACCAATAAAGCCAATACCGAGAAATGGACTCATGATTTGTCTATAAAAATGTCTAAAAATCTATTAGAATTTTCAACTTTTATCATAGAAACCAAAATAAAACAAACCTTTTATTTCTAATAGGCTCCTGCCTATTAGATCACTATATTTTAGTTTTCTCCATTTAATTTATATACACTTTTTTGTTAAATTCTTTTATTGGTACATTTTAGGTATACAACACAATTACATTTCTCATTGGGAATTGAACCTTTACATAATGCATCTTGGTTCTT